GGCATAGCAGAAAGAAAGAATCGAACATATCAAGAAATGATGAATGCCATGTTATTGCATTCCGAACTACCTTTCAATTTGTGGGGCGAAGCTTTATTATCCGCTTGTCACATAATAAATAGAATTCCCTTAAAGAAAAGTGGAATTTCTCCATATGAGGTATGGAAGGGCATGACACCAAATATTGTCTATTTTAAGGTGTGGGGGTGTGTGGCATATTACAAAAACATGGATCCTAAGAGAACCAAGTTGGGTCCTCGAGGGATAAGATGTGCATTTGTAGGATATGCACAAAATAGCAAAGCATATAGACTTTTAAATTTAGAGTCTAATATTATTGTTGAATCCCGGGATGTAGAATTCTTTGAAAACCTTATAACTAAGGATAAAGAATCAGAGTCGGCCATAAATAAAGAATCTTGTGAAAAAGACTCTTCTCGGATTGTAGAAATACAACCTGAAGGCACATCTCGAATAAATGAACCACGACCCGAACCTAGGATAAGCAAAAGAGTCCGGAAAATAAAGAACCTAGGACCAGACGAAATTGATTCTCAATCCATTTCATTTTATCTGGTTGAAGGAAATAGTACAAATTTTATTAAAAGCATTCCGGTAATTCTTCAAGTAGGGGAAGATCCTAAAACTTATAAGGAAGCAATAGCTTCTAGAGACTCCTCTTTTTGGAAAGATGCTATTCGAGATGAAATGGATTCAATTATGTCCAACCACACTTGGGAACTTGTTGATTTACCAAAGGTATCAAGACCCATTGGATGCAAGTGGGTGTTTAAAAAGAAATATCATAGTGATGGTACATTAAACACTTATAAAGCAAGATTAGTGGCAAAAGGATTTAGACAAAAGGAAGGTATAGATTATTTTGACACTTATGCACCTGTAGCGAGAACAACCACTATAAGGTTGTTATTTGCTTTAGCATCTTTAAATGATCTGATTGTTCATCAAATGGATGTTAAAACAGCATTCCTAAATGGAGACCTCGATGAGGAAATCTACATGGAACAACCAGAAGGACACGTCCTTCCTGGAAATGAACAGAAGGTGTGCAAACTTGTCAAATCTCTATATGGCTTAAAACAAGCACCAAAACAATGGCATCAAAAGTTTGACTCTACGATAATGTCAAATGGATTTATTCCTAATTCTTGTGACAAGTGTTTATATACAAAAGTGCATAATAACACTGTAATATTTTTGTGTCTTTATGTTGATGACATGCTAATAATTAGCAATAGACTTAATGGAATTTTAGAAACAAAAAGGTTTCTAACTTCCACTTTCAAGATGAAAGATCTTGGGCTTGTTGACACAATTTTAGGAATAAAAGTTAAGCAAAATAGTGGGGGTTATGAACTTAATCAAACACATTATATTGAGAAAATGCTTGATAAGTTCAAACACCTAAAATTCAAGGAAGTAACTACTCCATTTGATCATGTAATCAAACTTGAAAAGAATGATGGAAGAGCAGTGGCTCAATTAGAATATGCAAGTGCGATCGGATGTCTTATGTACTTAATGCAATGTACTAGACCCGATATATCATTTGCAGTTAGTAAAATGAGTAGATTTACTAGTAATCCAAGTAATGAACATTGGAAGGCAATCACGAGGATATTTGGTTATTTGTTGAAAACCAAAGATCTTGGCCTTCATTATGGTAGGTTTCCTGCTATATTAGAAGGATATACCGATGCCAGTTGGATCTCTGACGTGGGAAATCACAAATCTACAACTGGGTGGATATTTACACTAGCTGGAGGAGCAATTTCTTGGAAGAGCAAGAAACAAACATGCATTACTCTTTCGACCATGGAATCAGAATTCGTGGCTCTCGCTTCCGCTAGTCAAGAGGCAGAGTGGTTGAGGGATCTTCTTTTGGAAGTTCCATTGGCTAAAGACAATGTTTCAAAGGTAATGATACACTGCGATAGTCAGGCCACTTTGGCAAGAGCATTTAGCGAAGTGTATAATGGAAAGTTCAGGCATATAGGACTTAGACATTCGTTCGTAAGAAAACTGATTAAGGATGGAATCATTTCACTTACGTATATACGAACAAGCTATAATTTGGCTGATCCGTTTACTAAGCCACTGGCCAGAGACTTAGTAAGAACAACCTCGAGAGGTATGGGGTTGAAACTCCTTGAGTAAGAGTTCCGACAATGGCGGCAACCCAATCTTAAGTTAACAGAACATTAACGTTAAGATTTTCAATGGGTAACAACAAGTCGTTGATTTGGATAATTGTCTAACATTTCATAATTATGTTGACATTAGAAATGAGGGTTGAGTTTTATTTTAAACTCTTAATGAAATTCAATACTGAGGGTACGTATCTATTGGAAACAGATACTATATGAACTTCACCTATGTGAATTATGAGATGGTGTCGTCTCAAAGTGAGAGTTGGAGTTTCTCTCATGAAAAATTCATGAAACAGGATAGCACATGGCCATAAATAAGTGCTAAGCGAGTTATGCAGAGGAAGAATCTTTAAGGAGTGTGTGTAAGGTAACACCGGTCTATTCATATGGATTCATGGTTTAAAAGCATTGCTACCTAATATTCCGATTAAACCTTGTGTTATTCTTACTAAGGTTAAGTTTAAAATCGAAAGATACTTAACTGTATTAATACTTCTTATGTCCCATTTCTGGAATTATTATTTTGTCATTATTAGAACAAGTGGGGGATTGTTGAAAATAATATTTTATTTCCATTAATGTTGTTCCAAAATGACAAAGTGGGTGTTATATTTAATTGACAATAAATGCTTAGTCCCACATTGGAAGAGGAGTAAAATTAAATAGCATTTATAAGGCACTTGGAACAATGTAATTTCCAAAAGAGCCAAAGAGGATAAAGTGCCACATAGTCATATGTGGTGGTGCCAAAACTTATGTCACTTGTCTCATACAAAACACCCCTCGCCGGTGTCGCCACCGGCGACACCGGCTCCGGCTCCGGAACCGGAACCGGATCCGGGGGCGTGGGCGTAGAGGCGCTAGTGGCGGCTTGTAGACGGCACTTGAGCACTTAGGCACGACGCATCGGAGCAATCGGGCTATTCGCGGCGCCGGTGGCGCTCCGGCCGCCTCCGGCGGGCGGACCGGCCTTCGGCCGGTATACTGCGAATTTATTTTTAATTATAGCTCCAGATTTCATTCGTTGCCTAGAGTTTGAATTTTGAATTTGAATTCGAAATACATGACACTTCATGAATTGGTGCATATCATTTTATTTGAACCATTGCAAATGCTCATTAGAGAGTGTGTTTATGAAGAATTGCAAACTTCTGAAAAGACACATGCATGGCTATAAATATATGATTGATAATTCGAAATCAAACACTCCAAAATTCTGAAATCCTCTTCCATATAATTCCAACGTTTTTCCTTGCATTCGAAACTTCACCAGTCTTGTGCAGTTTCGAGAAAAGGCTGACTTATCCTGGGTATTCAGGCCGTTCCAACTCTAAGACAATTTGAGAGTGTGCTTAAAATACTTTTAAGGAAAGTGATTTCGTTCACGATTCAGTCTGGATCCATTCGACATAGAAGGATTATCTAACAGATAGACCAAGGAGAAGATATACTAGGAGAATGGTGAATTCAAATAAGCCAAATGTTTCGATTCTTCAAAGTTCATCGAGTAACAATGGAGAACCGCCTCAAGTATCTTCGATCGGGGGAACAACGGTTCCGACGAGTGTGTCAGAACCAAATCCATTCATGGCAAGTTCGACGTACACGCAGTCGATTATTCATAGTGAGCCCATTTTAAATTACACTAGGCCAAGAGGTTCTCTAATAACACTTCCACCAATGAGGAATGCTTCGAAGAGACCCTTCATGCTTTCAGGTTATCCATACTAGCACATGTCTTAGAATTTGTATGATCGATCCTGCAAATAATCAAAATTTTTTTCAATTTAAAAGATTAGCGGTTGTTGACTAATTTGTACGGTAAATAAAAACATAATAAATGGAAATAAGAGATATGTGTTGTAAATTTTGTCCTCACAAATTTTGAGACATGTGTTGCAAATTTGAACACAAACCCTAACCTATCATAATATTGTATAAACTTAAATATAACGAAAGTATCATAATTATCTTAAAATTATTACTATTTAATAAGCACTTATAATACATGCTATAGGTCGAACTTTTCCCCTTTCCCCCAAAATTCCTAATTTATCATGACATGAAATAATAACCCACACCAAAAAAATGGCCGTTAATTGGGCAAATCCACAAGTAACACTCCATAAAGCAAAATCACTTTTTATCATTAAGGATATACACAAAGTTTTCGGTGGTAATCTTTTCTTTTTCATAATTTTATTTTCATTGAACAAGTGGATATACTATACCATCAATGTTATACACCACTCGTGTGTAAGATACGAAGATTAATTATCCTTCAAAATCTTAAATCAATTATTCAACATTATTATTATTACATATACACACATTCATTTATGCATATATCAATCATAAAACATATACACGCAACCCTCCACACCACAAAAAAAAGAAAGTCAAATATGTCTAAAACTATATGAATAATGAAAAACCAAGAAAAAACTATATGAATCTATAGATAATTTGAATGTCTATACTAATTAATTGATTCACACTACACAAAAAAAAAAGTCAAAAACAAAGAGAAAAATAGAGATTAAAATAAAAATTAAAAAAAGAGCTATTTAATTCTTCCTTTCAAGTAAAAAAGGAGAAATTAATTGATTAATCGAGCTATAAGTTCATACCAATATTGTCCCATTACATCATGAAGAAAAATAACATCATCAAACATAAAAACATCTTCACCATGTACATTAGTTAACTGCTTTGTTTTTTTTTTCTTTTAAGGAAGAAGAAAAAGAAGAAAAATAAAAATAAGAAAAACTCAATGGTCATCACCTTTACCAAAAAAAAAAAACTACTATTTTCATCTTTGGTTTTTCTTCATGGTGATCTCCAACTTCTTAATCCAATGTCATTGTGTTTCCTTGAAGGAGTTGAGTATGGTATATGCATCCTTTTTGGCAAGGATCCAAAAAAGTTCCCTTGGTGTTGAGATTTGGGGTTCACTTTGAAGACATTAGTTGTGGTTCTTGAGGCATGAGAATGAGCTAATATGAAGAGAATTAAGAGAAGCCATGTAGCAAGAAGTTGAGGTCTTCTACATAAAAACATGATGTAGAAAAGTTTCACTATGTTTCAAGATAGAAGATGTGGTTACAAGTGTTGAGTGAGGGTAGAAGAAAAAACTTGTGGAATTTTGTGTAGGAAAATATATGAGTATTGGAATTTGGAGGTTTTGTTTGTTCTTGAGAGATGAGAGGTGATTTGGAGTGTGGTGATTTGGTGAAGAGAAATGGTCAAAGGAGAAGTGGAGAAATGTTAAGAGTTAGAGAAGCAGAAGAAAGTTGAAAAAGCTTGAAGAAAGCTTTTAGGAACGGGTCTTATGGGGTGGAGTGATTATTATAATGAAAAAAGCAAAAAAAAAATGATAGTAATATTACTTTTTTTTTTATTTCAAATAGTATTATGACAAAAGTCACACATTAATATTAGATAAGCAAAATTATGAATTAAAAGATAAATGGAAACAGTACAAAAGGTACAAAGAAAAAGCAAATAAAAAAAGGTATTTATTTGGTTGAATGGGAAGAAAAGTAAGAAGAAGCAAAAGGGGAGTGTTTTTTGGGTTATGTGAAATATTTTGTTTTTGTTTGGTGAATGTTTGGGCCCACATAGTATTTATGAATGGCCAACTAATAAGGAACTGAGAACTGTAGTTTGAGGCCCCACCCTTCATTTCATTGTTTACTTTTTCACTTTCTCTGCTTCTCTGTGTCTTAAACCCATTCCTCTAATTAAAACTGGTGTGTGCTACCTATACTAATACTATACTGTCATTGTGTGTAAACACAGTAAGTTAACTACTACTATTTTCTGACCTCAATCAAACTTTTCTATCTCTTGGAATTTTCTATCATGCTTGGATTTTCAATATTATTAAATTTAAACTTTAATTTAACCTAGATAAGGGATTTGTAAGATAAAGAATGTCAACTAACTTAAGAAACATACTTGAAAAAACCAACTATTTTAAAAAGTGTATTCATTCTTTTAAAATACACAATATTATCATGCATGTGTCTTTAGACTTTATTTTTAATATCAACCTATGTTAGAAAATGAAAAATATAAAAGTATCTTAATTATTGAAATACTTTTTTTCAATGTTTGAGAACTTTATTTAAAACGGTTTTAAAGATTGTTCGTCTAATAGTAAAGTTTTTATTATTTAATTCTAGCAGTGAGAAAATCTCAATCAAGTTTACACATACATGTTTTCTTCCTATTCATCAGTACACTAAAATATATGTTAATATAAGATTTTCTGTCTTGTGGATCAGTCAAGTCAAAAAATAGAGTTTGATCTAACTCATTCATATAAAATCAATTTATAAGATAAAATGTACTACTTTATATATATATATATATATATATATATATATATATATATATATATATATATATATATATATATATATATATATATATATATATATATATATATATATATATATATATATATATATATATATATATATATATATATATATATATATATATATATATATATATATATATATATATATATATATATATATATATATATATATATATATATATATATATATATATATATATATATATATATATTATAACCAAACTAATGTGAGCCCCTACTATCTTCTCACATACACATTACATTCTCACTCCCTGGCAAGTTTCAAATTCTTTCTTGACAATATTATTTTAACTAAATATCACCTCTAACACTTATATCACTTAGACTTTGTTTGCGAGTTTGAAGGAGAAAAGAGGGAAAGATTTTGGGGGAAAAAAGAAGAATTCAGTAAAATAAAGTGTTGGACATATGACTCCACATACAAGATGGGATGAACGGTAGATTTTAAAAAAATTTGAGTTTGAAAAACTTTTAGAATTATTTTTAGAGTTTAAACTCATTTAAAAAAAATACAAATAAGTAGTAGAAATTAAAAATGCAAAATTTAAAGAATTAAGAAATATAGAGATAACACCAGAAAGTATACAGGTTCGATGAAAAAGAAAAGACATAATTCTCTCTTCAATATTTGTTCTTGAGAGGATCCAATAAATCTTAAGAGTTGTTGATAGGTTGAAGTCTTGAACCCCTTATAGAAGAAAAATGAAGTTTCTGACAAACTTTCAATCAAACAGCGAGAGTGAGAAATGTAGAAAGAGTCATTTATTTATAAGTTAGAGGGTGACATGAAGAAAAAAATTTGGGGACAAATTTAATGAATCAATCGATTGGCATCATACACCAATCAATTGGTACACATAAAAATAATCGTTTAGAAGGTTTTAAAAGGAATGAAAAGATATATAGTTGTTTTCATTACTTAAGGCACTGTCCTAAACGATTAAGGCACGTTTTTGCACTAGTCCAATCGATTGGGTATAGGTGTCAATCAATGGACACTTACAAAAAAAAAGTCCATAGCTATTGTGAAAGTTCCCAATTTAACTAGCATGACTTCAAAGAATTTTTAGAAATATTTCTTTGAGATAAATATGTTTTAAATTTTGTTTTAGTGAGTGTGTAATTTAGCCGTATAACTTTACGAAAATTCCATTTTTCTTTTACAATACTCTTCACTCAGACGCGGCAGAGTGACGTTTTACATACTTCAAGACTTGTCAAGTATTTCAATCTTATACACTAATATAAAAAATACATTTGAACTCTGTTGCGAAGGAGATTTAACCCCGGCTACACATGTGAGGTAACAAAGTGTGTCATAAAAAATGACCACTTTACCTCTCGATTTTGGAATAATCGTGAAGGTGATAAAAATACACAAGAAGAAGGGTTGAATTGTGTATGCCCAAAAACATATTTTCACTTCTGATTTTGAAACATCATATTATGAACCAAGTTCAGAGTTTGATAACATAATGAGTAATGACAGTGAAAAGTTTACTTCTTTTTCTTAAATATGTTTCAGAACCTAAGGTGTCAAGCTCAGATTCTGATACAAGTAAGAGATTGAATCAGATCAGAGTTTGACTTCAGAGTTTGTTGCACAGAGGAGTATAAATGCAGAAGTAAATAAAGAGACACACAATATATTATGGTTCCTCTTAATTGAGAGCAGTCAAATCCCCTTGCAGCACAAGAGCTTTTAACTATAATCAATCAAATTACAATTGCTTAAGCCAGCAGCTCAAAACATCCTGCTTTACTACTTCCTACTCAATCACACCAGATCGAGACTTACTACTCAAGCCCTCAAAAGCTTTTTATAGAATTAGTTAAAGCATTATCAGAAGCTAAAGTATGTCTTCAGAACCTGGTCGAATGAGACATCAAAGTCTTGAGTTCACAGGTTCTAAGGTTGCCTTCATTAGATTCTTGATCAGAACTAGTTCGGATGAACACTTTGAGAGTTTATGACTTGATATAGACTAATTCCTTTGAAGCAATATCTTCAGAATTTCCAATGAAGCTTGTTCAGAAGATACAAAGTCGTTTCTTTGTAAAAGAGTTTGCCTACTTCAAGAGACTTTAATCTTCAGTGATTTTATGATCTTTGTATTCTAAGTAAGCTTAGGTTCAGCATTTGAAAGACTTGAGCCGACTCTTCAAAGTCTGAAAGCTTGGTTCCGATCCTTCAGATTCAGAATAACTTTGCTTCTGTTTAATGGTTCTTCTAAGTGATTAAATTAATTTACATCAAGGTTAATGTTTTTTGATCTTGCACACTTGAACAACCATTAGTAAACCCTATTGTTCTTTAAATATTTTGTTATCATCAAAATCGTTTAAAGGTATGAACAAATCTTGTTCCAATAAACCGATGGGTAAATGTTTTACACATTTGGAATTCTCATAATAAAAGTGACATGGATCGTGCAATTGTGTTAGAGTAAGAGCGATAACCCCAGATCCAGTTTTCCCCAATTGAGATTTAAGTGATTATTCAACTAAGTTATTTTAATTAAGTTCTTTTTCTTTGAAGTTATTTTACCATATCCATATTTTTTATTTCTCTAGATATACGCCGATAGGACAGAATTTGATACTTACGCTATTGGTCTCTGTGGTTCGATATCTTTTATTACTTCGCATAGTTGTGCACTTGCGGTTGCATCTAGTTTTTGGCACCATTGTCGGGGACCAATTGCGTTTAATATTGAATTTTTGTTTGATGATCGTATAAACTAGAGTTATAAATTTCTTCTTATTTTACTGTGTTTGTTTGATGTGTTTCTCGTTGCCCTTGTATGCGAAGAACTCGTTATATTGATAGCTTAGTTGAGATCATAGACGAAATCGAGCATTTCTTACTCAAGAGACACTAAAATCTTAGATTACAAGTTATGGTCGATCCAGTTGATACTAAAACCCTTAAGGATTACGCGATTCCCACCAAAGACAAATTGCATTGTGGTATTGTCTACCCCTTGATTGCGGCTAATAATTTTGAACTAAAACCTTATTTGATTGGTATGTTGCAACAAAACCAATTTTTTGGTTTACCTTCGGAAAATCTGAATCTTTATCTTTCTATCTTTGTTGATAATTATGGTACTGTTATGACCAATGGTGTTGACCAAAATGCCATCCACTTTTGTTTTTTCCCTTTTCTTTAGGAGCCCATGTGTGGGCTTGGCTTCAATCTTTGCCCACCAATTCTATTACTTCCTTGTTTGACTTGTGGGAGCGTTGTAAATATTTGTTAATATTATGCCATTTCCATGGGCTTGAGAAGTGGATGATTATTTATACCTTTTACAATGGTCTCCTTTACTCCATAAGGACAACCTTAGATGCGGGTTCTGGAGGAGGCCTAGTAAATAATCCTTAAGAGGTACCCTATAACTTGATAGAAGACATGACCAAACACCGCCACTTATGGGGAAGCGTCTAAAAAGTTTCTGCTAAGTCCGCCCCTAAGACCGGTGATCTTTATGAGGTTAATGTGTTTGACCATATGAATGCTAATGTGGATGCCCTATACTAAAAAATCAGATAGCCTAAGCATCACACCTTCCACATATGTTATCTCATCACATGTTGCTTCTGTTTCCCTTGCCACTCTTTACTGTAAGATATGTGGAGTCAATAGGCA